TTTTTTTTTTTTTCCTTTTTTCTTTATTTAGAGTTTTTAGGATTTTGGTGAGACCCAAAGGTTCCTTCATATCAACATTTAGAACAAATGAAAAGGAAGGAAACAAACGTAGTCAATCCAGTCTACTGGCTCGCTAGTGCCAATAGTCATAAAGGTCTTGTTTGCCTTAGTTGGGGAGTTGAAGGCTTATTTGCCTAACTTTTAGCTTAGGGGCTTAAATGCTAATTTGGAACAAGTTTAGGGGCTTAAGAAAGGTTTTTGCCGACTATTCATGTTACCATGATTCGACATTTTGACCACTTTTGTTTTGTTATTTTGCCATGGGCTTATAACTGCAGGCCGAAAAATGAGCTTATAAGTTATAACCCAACAAGAAGACTCGTTATGGGCTTCTAATATGGGTCATTGTCTCGTTATGGGCTTCTAATATGGGTCATTGTCTCGTTATGGTCTTTCAAATATTCGAAAATATTTATATATATATGGGCCATTGTCAAGCAACTGGCCCAGATATTCCCACGGTACTTCCGTCGTAATTAACAACGCGGTTTAGGGTTTTTCCTACATTTGAACTCCCTTCTTCGATCTACAGCGGCGCAGCACCGGAGCAAAATGACTGCTAGGAAGACGCAGAGGACGAGCCGGAACCCAGATCTCATCCGCGGCGTTGGGAAGTATTCCAGGTCCAAGATGTACCACAAGCGTGGTCTCTGGGCCATCAAGGCCAAACACGGTGGCGTGTTCCCTCGCCACGACCCCAAGCCTCAGGCACCGGCTCCACTCGAGAAGCCACTCAAGTTCTACCCTGCCGACGACGTCAAGAAACCGCTTGCCAATAAGCACAAGCCCAAACCCACCAAGCTCAGGTTCTTGTAAAGTTAATTTTCTGTTTCCTGAGCTTTGAAAGATTGTTTCTTTTCTTTCTTTCGTTTTCTGATTTTGTGTTTCTTTGTGGGTTTGTTTTAGGTCGAGCATTACTCCGGGGACGGTTTTGATTCTTCTGGCTGGGAGGTTCATGGGGAAGAGAGTTGTTTTCTTGAAGCAGCTCCCTTCGGGGTTGCTTTTGGTTACCGGTGAGGATGCCATTAACGTGCTTATTCCATGATTGACCTCTGAATTTTGCTTTTCTGTTTCATTACTTGGGTTGCTATGGATTGAAAATGTAGAAGAGTGTGGTGCGGAAGTGGAAGGATTTACATATTGGCTATTTTTAGGTCTCCGTTTCATACATTTTTCATTTTGTTTCGATGCTGAGTTTTCATTTTACTGCAGGTCCGTTCAAGATTAATGGTGTACCTTTGCGGCGTGTGAACCAATCCTATGTCATTGCAACTTCCACCAAGATTGACATCTCTGGTGTTAATGTAGACAAGTTTGATGATAAGTACTTTGCTAAGGAAGTTGAGAAAAAGAAAATTAAGGGAGAAGGCGAGTTTTTTGAGGCTGGGAAGGAGGTTAGTTCTATCCTGGATCTAACCGAATTATTGCATGGTTTGTTTGACTGAAAATGCATTGCCAATGAATGTGTTTTCCATGGTTGCATGTAGCTTATAGGGCTTGTTGCACTGCATTTAGAAGAAGCATTAGCGTGCTACTGTGCTCTTAAAATTCATTTGTGCATATGCTTTTGTATGCTTGGATTTATGTACTGCAATTATGAAGTGCAGAGATTGCCATGTAAAATTCCTTCATGTGGATAAAGGGGGATACTTAGCTACATTAACCACTGTATCTTGCAGAACAGGCATGGAAATGAATTAAGTGCTATATGGTGTATACTTATGATTTGTTTACCTATCTTATGAACCTACTCTTTGCGACTTAATGGCCCTGCGTGATGACTAGTTCATTTGAGTTGAAGTTAGGAACAAAAGCTCTTTGAAATGTTCAAAAACTGATTCATTATCCTAATCTAATCTTATTATTATTCATTTTGCTTTTTGAGTCTCGATGAACAGTCCTAATTTGTTTCATCCTCTAACTCTAGGAAAAGAAGGCATTACCAGATGGCAAGAAAGATGATCAGAAAGCTGTAGATGCTCCCTTGATAAAGTCTATTGATGGAGCCCCAGACTTGAAGGCTTACCTTGCCGCCAGATTCTCACTTAAGGCTGGCATGAAACCGCATGAGCTTGTATTTTAGAGGAAGAATTTTGGATTTCAATATGACTAATGCTTTGCTTTGTTTTTCTTTTGGTTGAAAGTATTTCAGGTTCTTGTTTAGATGTTTTACTTGGATACAATCCAATTTTTGTCTCGCAATAATATTGTTTTCTTCTTTTTATTGTGTTGGTTTATTCATGTTCTGACTCCATTTAAACATGAAGAAATTGTTTCCTTTTTTAGAATTCTTTAAGGGATAAATTGGAACTAAAATGAAAAATAAAAATGTTTAACCTGGATTACCAGGACCAAAGAATGATTGACTAATTCAAGAGGAGCTTTGAAAATGGTTTTACAATCTTGCACATTCTAAGGTAATAAATCATATGGTTGCTGCATTAACAGTCAATATGAGCTCATCCATACAATTTGCGCATGGAATGCAGAGAGTTGGAAATTGACATGAACAAGTTCACAGAACAGTAAGTTTCTTGTGTGGCCATATGAGACTTTATTTTATTGATTATTAAACTTCTAATTGTGCAGTTCACACAGGACGAACGGCAAATTTTAAATTGCTAGTCCGGCACATAGCTTTTTTTAGCTTAACATATAGAAGGGATCATCATATGGGGATACATTCCAGTCCAATGTATTTAGCTTGTCCCCCATAAAAAAAAAAAAAAAAAAAGTTTATCTCTTACATTTTCAACTTCTCTAGTGTTTGCCTTATAAAGTATTTGTGCATTATCACTTCATTATCACTCCATACAACCCCATACGCATCAATTGCTTCCTCTATGTTGATTGTCAACAATGTCAATTTGTTTGAACCTTTTTCTTTTGACCTTTTCCCATTTTATTATATTATATATATATGAAAGTAATTTTTTCTAAATTTATTTTTTATTTTTTTATTTTTATGTTTTTACTTCAACCATGGACAACATTAGCAAATTTAGTGCAATGAGTAAAGAAAAAAAAAGCTATTTACGGTCAACACCAAACTTGAACAAGTTTAGGGTTTGTTTAATTTGACTGATAATCAAAGTCTATAATTTTTTTAATTAAATAATAAGTTAGGGTATTTTGAAAGATATTGATTTTAATCAAATATTTGTTATTTTATCAATTATTATTTTTCTTTCTGTAAGCTAGATGAAGGGCTAAATAACATGGGGTAACCCTTTCTTTTCTAAAATTCTCCCCATTTATTTTCAAATTTAAATTTATAATTTTTAATATAAAAATTTAAACTTTTAATTATTAAAATATTCTATGAAAACTATACTAATTATTAATAAGTAACAATAACTGTAACTTAGTTCAAACGGTCACTCTAACATCAAAATCAAAGCAATATTTTTACAGCTCATATATTCTTGCATACATGCTAATGTAGTAATTTTAAAAGTTGAATTTATTAATAAATAAATATTATTTTACATATTAAATATGTAGTTATATTTTTAAGTAAACATTTATAAAAATTAATTTTTTTAAATACACCATCTAATATAAAAATATCTTTAATATTTATTAAAAATAAATTAACTTAAAATACATACAAATTCACTCGAAATCACTCTATTTAAAATAAATAAATAAATAACGGTCGCAAGGCGCAACTGATCTCTAATCCTCTCTCTTGGTCGACAATGTCATTTTCGTTAAATATTCCTTTTGGCATTTATTGACCACAAATAAAGGTGCAGGCTTCATCCAGGCAGCCCGTCCTTTACCGGTGAAGGGTTGCATTACAATATCCTTTCATTAATAGATCCTGCTTCCTCATCCAATTGTCCGCATGGAGAAAATAAAATAGTATTTTTTGGTATTCTCTTAATATTTGATAATTACATTGTATTTTAATTGATTCGAAATCAAGTTGCGTCAGATTTCATTTGAAAGAAAGCTCTATTAACATCTATATTTTTATTTATAAGATTTAAATTCAAAATCTTATATAAAAAAAATTAAATTTTTTTCATTTAAATCAACATATTGTATACGAAATTAAAATATATTGCTGAATTAACCTCTATCCTTGAACATTTGATTTGATATCCCAACCAATCATGTAAAGTGGCGACCTGCAAATCTATAGGATTTAACGGATTTGTACTCTTCAATTTCATAGTCTCCTCAAATTATTGTACGAGATCTTAAAAGTATCACAATACTTACACTGAAATTTTATCAATTCATGCATCATTACATTTTAAATCCGTGAACAAACAATTGAAATATTTTTCCTCCAAATAAAATTAATATAAAATAACATATAAACATAAATGATTTATTGATTTAAATAAAAAATTTATTTTTTTAAATAAAATTTTAAATTTAAATTTTATAAATAAAAAAAATTATCGAAAGATTTTATCTCTTATGAGTACAACACAATTTAAATATGAAAAGCTTACTACCAAAAAAAACATATAAACAAAAAGAGACTCGTGTTTAAACTGGCAAAAAAAAAAAATTAAGTAGAAAAATATATAAAATTACGTTATTTTAATATATATTATAAAAAATATTAATATAATTTTATTTATAT